GGTGAAACTTTCAGACAGGTAAATGTGAGTGTGGAGAGCATAAACTGTGTCTAGAGTTGATTCCAAAGACGTCTGTCAGCTTGAAGAAGCTAGAAAACAAATCAGCGATTGCACTACACTCGATAGAAATGGGACACAAGGTTTACATTGATAGAACCGAGTTTCTACAGAAAGATTTTAGGTCGTATAAAGAAAGAATGACTGCAGAAATCCTACATATATGGATGAATTAGAAAAGCTTGAACATATGTTGTGAAGGTGTGGTGTTAGCTGATGCATGTCAAGTCCTGATTAATAAATATAAGTGGTTATGTATCACTAATCAGTCATACTTGATCTAAATTCCTGATTGTCTATATCTTCTTATGGAGAGGCTAACAAATGATTGACAGTTGTTTCCTCATAAACACATTCACTCACACACACACCATTGTATACCGCATATACATATATATATATTTCATTTTCAGTTATCTACGACCATGAAATTTTAGTCGAACATAATGATTAAAATTCTGATGAGAAATACACTCTGTTTAAAGTAGACTAATATTTTCTATACTTGGTTTGTAAGGATTAGTTTTGTTTTTACGAGTTGATCACGGATTGATATCAGTTAGAGAACCACTGAATACCATGCAGTACTGCCGATGATTCCCAAACTAGACTGATGAAACAGCTGTCCAGTACTCCAGTGCTGGTTTTTAATGGTTCTCTAACTGATATCAATCCGTGATCAACTCGTATAAACAAGACTAATATTTGTAAGTCTAAGGTGAAATTTTGATCACAGCTCACACAATTTTGTCTGTTTAGTATACATGTTGATGCCTGTTTCATGACTCATAGGATTCGATAAAGTTTCTCAAAAAAGGGAATTTCTTTTATATAAATAGAAAATCAAAACAAATGATTCAGCGAAGAGACTCATTTCAACGAATTTATCATCAAGCTGTACAATCGAATATATATGGTTTTCAAGAAGTTATATCCGGTGAGGGAATTGAATCATAGGTGTGAATGCATAAAATAATAATAATAGTAGTTTGAAATGCAATTAAAAACTAAAATGTTTGTGATCATAATCAAAGTTAAATGTGAAGTGGCAAAACAATTAATGTCATATATAGAATAATTCATAGGATGGATAGAACTTGAAAAAGGGTGTGCAATTATAAGATTAGTAGACAAATCGAATAAAATGAAAACGTTACGTAATATTGTGTGAAATTTAATAGCATAGAATTCAATGTTGCATAAAGGAATTGATTTAGAATGACAAGTGGAACAAGTGAAATAATACCGGGAACAACTAAAAGTGAGAGTAGTAATTGTAACAATTGACTTAATAAGGAAGAGTATACAAATTGAATAGACAAAATGAAAAAATGAAAAATTGGTAGAACTAAAATATGATTGGGGATTACCATACTTTAGCATAGAGGGATTAGGACCATGAAAGTTGGGGGGGGGTTGAACGAACATTTTCTGTACACAGAGATCTGGCTTTTCTGTTTCGATAGCCAAATCTTCTGCAATACAGATGAGTCGGGTACGTAGGGATTTGGGTAAATTACTCTTTCCCCATTTCCCACTTTGTAACCCAGGAGGACAACCGTGTTTTTAGCTATTTGGGACTTGTTCTTATTAATTCGCAGTCCAAAGTCATCAATTCTCTTTAAGATAGCTTCGATGTGGTCTATATGGTCGCTTTCCCTCTCACTATACACCACCAAGTCATCTCCACATACTTCTACGTTCTTCAGACCCTTCAGTAATAAGGTCATTAATCTTCTGAATGTAAATGGGGCACCTACCAATCCAAATGGCATTCATTTAAACTGGTATTGTTTCTGCCCAACTGTGAAAGCTGTTTTACTACGATCACTTTCTGCTATTTGGATCTGCCAGTAACCCAATCGTAGGTCGAACACGGTGAATAACTTCGCTTTATGAAGGCGATTAAGGGTTTCTGTTACGGTAGGCACTGCACACTGTTTTACTTCGTTGAGGCTATTCAGCTGTCTGAAATCGACACAAAATCTATATTTCCCGTTAGCTTTCTTCACCAAAAGGATTGGCGAACTGTACGGGCTGTCGGCTTCTTCGGTTATTCCGTCGTTTAACATTTCTCTGACTTGTCGGTTAACTTCTTCTTCAAGGTGAACCGGAACTCGTCGCGATGAAAAGACTGTCTTCCCCGTGTCCTTCAGTGGGATGTTATGCTTTACCTTATCACAATAACCGTATGGGTCTCCATCACTAGTGAATAAACCGGCATATTTACTCATCAACGTGGTTAGACGTGGTGCATCTTGCGGAACAATGGTTGTGGTTTCCACCTCAGCGACTTCACTATTCTCATGTATCGCGAATTGCCCGTGTTTTGTGACCACTTTTCTGTTCTTCATATCGATTACAGCTCCTACGTCTCTGAGAAAGTCTGCTCCCAAAATCGTTCGTCTTATATCAGAAGTTACAATAAACGGATATCTTATTTTTCCCGCTCCAATCTCTACAACGCAGTCTGAAATGCCAAGAATGTGCAACGGATATCCTCCTACCGTCTGAACTGCTAATGTGCACGGCCTTATTTCCTTACACTGTTCTCTATCTATCAACGAAACTGCGGCCCCTGTGTCGATCAAACAAATTATTTCTTTATGGTTCACCCGTAATCTCCCGTACACTGAACCTCTTTCGACTAACCCGACCAACCCCAAACGCGAGCGAGAAAAAGAAGGAAGTCTGTACCGTTTAAAGTTTTTTGCCTTCGTTTCGGGCAGTTTCTCTGCCAGTGACCGGTTCCTCCGAAAACAAAGCATCTGTTGTTTGTTCTTTTCTGTTGTTTCAACTCTTCAATCTGGTCTTCGATCTTCTTGGAATCTTGGCCCTCGGACATCACTGGAGCAACATGCAAGGTCATTATCTGCCTTGTCACCTTGGCCATTTCATAGACATCCATTGGCTGAGCTGCGTTAACTAGCTGCAACTGATGAGCGATATCTGTCGGGACGCATTCGAGGAACTGAGATGCAAGCAACTGCTCCCGTGAATCTTCGTCTAGGGTGGATAACGCGCGTCGCAGGTGATTCGTCAGCGTTACTGCGAGAACCACGCTAAGAAGGAGTGTGTATAGGAAACCTACAACAACAGGTCAGTACACTCATTTTTTGAGTTTTGTACCTTTGAAATATAAACGTAACCTGGTAAAGTGTTTGGTTCATAGAACTAAGTTAATATGTTCAGACGACTGCCTCAATGAGGAGCTTAAGATTATTAAAGAATTACTTAGAAAAAATGGTTATCCAGATAAATTTATTGAGAAGAATATGAATTCAGCACCAAAGAGGGTCAGTATCGCTACAGTTTCAAAAAGCCAATGTTCATAAAATTGCAGTTCCTCGGTGACAACATCAGTGAAATCATAACACAGCGCTTAAAGAATGCGGTTAAAAGAGCTTATTATGCAGCAGAAGTACGTTGTCTCTTCAAAACCACCCCTATTCTATGTTCGAGAAATAAGGACAAACTACCTAAATTTGCCTCTTCTATGTGTGTCTACCAATTTGACTGCAGCTGCGGAGCCAACTACATTGGGCGTACAATTAGGCAGTTTCATCGTCGTATTTCTGAACATCATCCAGCGTGGTTAAGCAAGGGACAAGTAAAATCTATCCGTAGTTCTATTTTAGCACACCTTGTTGATACTGAGCACAAGGTCGATGTGAATACTGCATTTAAAATTATTTATCGTATTCCAACTAATCTTAACTTTGCTCTAAGATTTCGTCTTTTACAAACAGCTGAAGCAATTGGAATCCACCAGAAGAAACCAAGCCTATGTGTACAGAAGAAATTTGTACAGCCACTTTGCTTACCGTGGCCATCGTTACAAGACAGGACTACGTCGCCCCCCTCCCCCTATTAAATTATAATTGTCCAAATTATTTTTATTTTGACTTCTTCTTTAATCACGTGTTATTCTTGTAAAATTAATTTATTCTATCCATTTCTACCTTTTAATTGTGTGTATTAATTTTCTTCCTTAATTATCTACCCATTGACATTTTGACACTGGTTAATTATTGTTAACAAACGTATCGCCACGTGTTTGGTAAATTGTTGTGTATTGTAAAAAATGCTATATATATTAGAGTAGAGCCATAGAAGAGGATCTAATTGAAAAGTAAATATTTCTTCGCTCAATCTTTCTGTTTTATCAATTTATCAAAATACATTTTACCCATCATGGAATTATACTCTACCAGGGTGCACAAGTGCTATACTTATATCAACAGAGTAATTTAACCCCATCGTATGCATTTGATTATTTAGCTCTTCTAACCCTGACAATAACCCTAATCTTTCCTCAACCTAACCCTAACGTGAAAATATCCCTAAACTAACTGTAATCTAACTCGCACCAACACCCTAATGTCGCCTTTATTAGGTTAACCTAACCCTAACTTATCCTTGGCTTAAACCAGGACTTAATCTTTCTCAAATCTAAGCTGAAACTTGCCAGATACCCATTTAATAGCATAACACTTCGATGAGCATATTTTATTGATGATGATGACAACATTATTTGCCAGGTTTCAGTGGGCGTTTCAAGGTCACTGGTGCGGTCGCACTCCATTGGTAGTTAGTTAGTGGTGCTTAAAATCTAACTTGGCCCAATTTCTGGTATAATTTCCATTTGCCTTTACTGGCTGGCTGTTTGTTTTCTATTCCATTGGATTCATGGATTTATTTATAACTGTAGAACTTGAAAATATGGAATAAGTTGTTGAAAACGATTGTTCGTTCAAAAATCACACTTATTTTATTGATTACCTTCATTGAACATTGAAAAAACATTGAACAATTGATCAGGAATAACCACTGAAATATTTTCCACATATATATATATATATATATATCCAGACATACTGAAAGCTGTCATGACTTCAGACAAACTGTCTCATGACATTCACATAACTAGTTAGGATAAGTTGTATAATATATATACGTTAAGTGAAATGAACCAATCAGATAGTTAGTATCAGCTTGTATGTATGCACGTATGCGTACATAATAATATGTCAGCGCAAAAATCAATAACATATAATGCACGCACACACACAGATTAAGGCGTATATTGAATAATGCTGCTTACAGCTATTATATACTCCTATTACTTTATTATTTGAAATAGCATTAATTGTATAATCCTGTTATTATTATTGTTGTTGGATTAACAAGTGATTTTTTCTGAGCAAATTCATATTGGAGATTTAAATATGGGTGAGTAGTAATTTGGTTTTTTTTAAAGAATACAGTAATTTCTTATGAATAAAAGTTATTTATCCTCAGTGTTAATGCCTAGGAAGGATTGAGCAAAATAAATACAAGATATTTAGTGTTTAAACGACTGTCTGCCTGCTGACTGATTGGGTGATGACAGACAGACAGACTGACCGAATGATTAATTGATTGATTGACTGACTGAGTGGTAAGGAAAACGTGTATAAACTAGACCCATAATGGAAGAAGAATTCTTCTATCATAGCGTATTACAATAGAGAATTACAATAGGATTAAACTAATTTTTTTTAAAAAAAACCAAGATTTTAAGGCAGAATGAAATTAAGACTGGGGAAAAAGTTAAATCATAGCTATCCAGCTTTATCGACTTTGAAAAGGCCTTCCACAGCGTCGATCGACAGGTGCTTTGGCAACTACTTCGCTACAACGGAGTGCCACCGACAATTATACATCTCATCCAACAGCTGTACGACAATGGTGCATGCCAAGTAATCCATAACAGGAAAATCACGGAATCCTTCGAAGTGAGGACAAGAGTAAGACAAGGCTGCGTACTATCGCCAATGATTTTCCTGATTGCAGTAGATTGGATAATGCGACGGACAGCGGGCAATGAGGAAACAGGCATAAAATGGACTCACACAAAACACTTGGAGGATCTGGACTTCGCCGATGATATATGTCTGATTTCCCACAAACTGGAAGATATGCAAGCGAAAAGCAACAAGTTGGCAGAAGAAGCATCAAAGATAGGACTCCAAGTAAACATAGAGAAAACAGAGGGTGATGAAGATTCCTGGGCAACACCAACAGCAACAACAACAACAGACAACGATCAGCATAAATGGAAGGAACCTGAAAGAAACAATCTCCTTTTCCTACCTGGGAAGCATCGTTTCAGCTACAGGCAGAACTGATGAGGATATCAAAGCGAGGATAGGGAAAGCAAGACAAGCTTTCATTTCTTTCAAGTCTGTGTGGAGGTCAACAGCGTTCAGCATCAAAAATAAGGTCCGGATTTTGAACTCCAATGTGAAGTCAGTGCTACTAAACGGACCAGGGACTTGGCGCGTCATAAAGAGGATCTCAAACAAACGACAGGCCTTCATTAACAGCTGTCTTCGCTCAATACTGAAGATCAGATAGCCAGAAAAGATCAGCAACAGAGATCTCTGGGAGAGAACCAACCAGGAACCGATTGTGAAACAAATAGGCAGGAAGAAATGGAGATGGATTGGCCATACTCTTAGGAAACCAACCAGTGACATCACTAGACAAGCCATTGCTCGAGTGGAACCCGAAAGGGAAGTGGCGAGTTGGTCGTCAATGCAAGGGTGACTTGTAGGAGGTCATGTGAAGAGGAGATGAAAGCATGTGGGGAGACATGGAGCCAGGTGAAAACATTGGCAGAGAGCCGAACGCAATGGAGACGCTCGGTTGAAGCCCTATGTTCCTCTAGAAATTAAAGGAGACAATAGTAATAATATATAATAATATCGAAAGAGCGGCGAACTCAAAGCTGACCCTAAAGTGACCAATCCAGAATAACCAGTATATTTTACACAAAAATGGCGCATCTGCTTACTAGAAAAATATACAGATAACAATTATGACCATTAAAAAATTTGCTAGGAAAATATAGATAATAAAAATTATGATTGTTGTTCTCTTGAGTTCCGAGTGGAACATAGGGATCCAAGAGCACGTCTCCACATTTTTTTCGTATTCTCTGCGGTGCTCTTTAGTTGAGCCCACGATTGCCCATAATTTCTTATCTCCTCCTCGTCACACGATCTTCTCCATGTCATCCTAGGAACCCCCTCCCACTCGTCGTTTCCCGTTCGGGTTCCACTCGAGCGATGGCGTGATGTGCGATATCATTCCACAGTTCTCCCAGCGTGTGCCCAATCCATCTCCAATTCATTCACCATATTTCTTGACCATTGGTTCATTGGTTAATTAGTCTAAAACAGGATAAAAATATTGTCATCGCAAAAGCTGACAAAGGAAACGTCACCGTAGTTCTGAATAAATCTGACTACATCAAAAAAGTTACTGAACATATCCAAACGGGTCAATATGAAGAAATTAAGAGGCCTGCAGATAGAGTAATGAATAAGGTTAAGAAATTTACAACAGAACTAATACGCAGAATGAAACCGTCACTGGGTGAGTCAAAATGGTTTAATTTAATGCCTAAAACTAATAATGCTAGTAGGATGTATGGTACTATTAAAATACATAAGCCAGGTTATCCCATAAGACCAATAGTAGATTCTAGAAATACCCCTACATATGAACTATCAAAACATTTAGCTCTAATATTATGTCCCATTAGAAATCATTCAAACTCTAGACTAACTGATTCATATGAGATGAAAAATAAACTAAATGACATACAACTAGATAATGATGAAACAATGGTTAGTTTTGAAATAACCAGTCTTTATACTAATATACCAGTCAATATGGCCTTAGAAGCAGTTAAAAAAGAACCAACTGCGGATACTGAATTCATTCATAGGACAAAGCTGTCCATTGAAGAAATTATTTTAGGGATTCAGCTATGCCTCACATCTACTATATTTAAATTCCAAGGCATAATATATAGACAAACTGAAGGTGTAGCGATGGGATCACAAATATCCCCTATCGTAGCAGACATATTTATGGACAGTTGGGAAAATATTGCTCTAAATACATTTAGTCCTACTCCGAAAATATGGTGGAGATATGTGGATGACACTTTCACAGTGTTAAAAACAGAACATATCTCTAGCTTCTTGACACACATAAACTCACTAGTGGAGGGAATAAAATTCACATTTGAATCGGAAGATGAACAAGAAGAATTAGCTGTGATGTTAGATTGTAAAATAAAACGAATAGAAGAAGGTAAACTTCACACTAGTGTTTATAGAAAACCAACGCATTCTAATAGATATTTAGATTTTAATTCGTCTCATCCGTCAACTGTTAAAGCAGGCTTAGTTAAGTGTCTAACAAACCGAGCCATAGCACTAAGTAGCACAAAAAAAAGACCTAACCGACGAAATAAAACAGATAGAAGAAGCATTGGTGTTGAATAACTACCCTATAAAATTCATTAGGAAGGTCACTAAAGGCAAAATCAAAATAATTGTGGAACTAGTAATGATAACATAAATAAGAGAGAATATAAGTCGTCTACTGTTATACCATATAAAGAGGGGACATCTGAGACCCTACTTATGATTCTTAATAAAGCAGGAATTAGGGTGGCATTTAAACCTACAAACTCATTCAGGGACAGGCTCTGTAGGTTAAAGGACCCTGTTGACCCAATTAAACTAAATAATATAATTTACAAAATACCCTGCAATGACTGTGATTGAAGTCAATTACATAGGTTAGACTAGTAGGTCGGGGGTAGTCAGATTATCAGAACATAAGAATTTAGCTAAGGGAAGAATGGTTGACCCTGAAAAGATAAGTAATTTAGAAAAAAGCTCAGCTATTGCACTTCACGCATTAACAAACAACCACACAATAGGGTAGGATAGGGTTAAAATTCTAAAGAGTAACATAGGTAGGTGGAGAGAGAGGTTGATTACGGAATCCTTATTCATCGAATCTACACCCAACACATGCAACAGAAATGACTCAATGCATATACCAAAAATACGGAAGATATTATTACCACCAGTCAGTCAAATCAGAGGAGGATAATAAATAATCTCAAAATTCTAATTCAATTCACGTACATCACAACATTCTAACAAGTTACTTATTTTGACTATAAAAACACTCGTCTTATTTCCTATCTGATTGTAATTGATCAATAAGACTCATATTATTATTTCTGAGTGTACATTATCTCATATTGAATTTTATTCCAATATCTAATCGATTCCACACATGTATATAAATGAAGGAAAAAAGTTGTGTGAGTAACTTGATATGATTATGAGCAATAGTTTGTGGTCGAAACGTCATCAGTTAATGTTACTGTACAACATTTTGTGATTTATCAAAATAAAATCTTATCCATAATAGTATTCATTGGTTCGTTCCCAAAGTTTCTGGTTGCTAATTCCTTCTGGCCGGTTGATGAAAGTCTGTATCTGGCTGCTGGACATGCTTTTCGTAACGCTCAGTGCAAGTTTCTGACCTATAGAGAAGAAGCACTGACTGACTTAACATTGTTGTTGAAAATCCGAACGTCGGTGGCATAGTGATTAGGACTCTCACCGACCATGCACATGGTCCAGGGTTCGATCCCCCGCCGACGCACACCTGATATCTATGGTCGGCCAGCAAAATTTGGGCTACCGATATCCATGCTGAAAATCCCATACTTGTATTGAAAATACGATGTGGCATCAAGTTGTAATCAAAAATATAAGAAAATAAATTTGTTGTTTATGCAGAGTGCAAAAGATTTCCAAACTGATTTCAGAGTGATGAAGCTCTGTCTTGCCTTCCCAATTCTTGCTTTGTCATCTTCATCCGTACCGCCAGTGGTTAAAACGACGTTGCCTAGATAATTGTGGGAAATGACCTCTTTTAAATTTCTCCTGCTGATGGTGATTGATTGCTTACTTTCACACCTCCGTATTCTCTATGTTTACTTGAAATCCTGTCTTTGGAGCCTGTCTCTTCTGCCAGCATGTTGGTTTACGCTTGTAAGTCTTCGAGTTTGTGTGACATTAGGCTTAAATCATCCACGAAATTCAGATCTTCTAGAGTCTTCTTATGGGTCTTCACTCGTCACCCATCGTGTGCCACATGATCCAGTAAGTCACAACTGGGAATATCACTGGTGATACTAGGCAGACAGCCTTATTTTACTCCATTTTGTCTGCACTTCAAAGACTTTGTTGAGTTTTCCGTTGGGGATCACCTGACACATGGTATTGAATGAAGCTGATAAACATTTGGGGCGCCTCACAGTGTCGAAGCAGTTTCCAAATTACTTCTTGGTCAGCTCCGTCGAAGGCTTTTCCAGAGTTGATTAAACTGAAGTAGAGGTTTGACTGCTATTCTACTGTTTGCCCGATGATGATGCGTAGAACTGTAATTTGATCAGCATATGATTTGCCTTTCGTCAATCCAGATTGTACCGATGGGCGGAGTTCTGCACCCAGTGCACCTTTTATTCTCCACAGGATGACACAACTTCGTATTTTACTTGGCGTGGACAAGAGTTTTATCCCATTGCAGTTCTTGCAGAGTGAGGCGTAAGTCGCCCTTCTTTGGTAGCTTGACAAGGTAGTGTTTCTTCCAGACAGTAGGCACCTTTCCTTCCTTCCAAACCTTTTGTAATAATGGTGGGAGCACATCTGCCGCAGTCTCTGGGTCCTTTTCAAAATGTTCTTCCACTCAGGTTTCCTCAGTGATGCCACGTAGTGTCTCCGTCTTCACGCTGATACCTTCAGTGAAAGGATTCTTAGTAGATTCGTCTTTCAGTTTCTGAGTGTTGAACATGAATTGCAGTCTGTATCCAGTTGTCTTGAAAGCTTAACCTTGAAGGTTACTTGGACTGGATAATGGTCTGAGCCCACATCTGCTCCCCTTCTAGACTCTGTGTCCAGAAGGCTAGCTGCGTCTCCGCTTCCTTGAGCAGCACTGAGATGAAATCTATCTGCTTTTTGTTGTGTCCATCAGGTGAAATTCATGTTGCTTCGTGCATATCCTTGTGATAAAAATAAAATGCCCTAACTATAACCATAACCTTAAGCCGGATCCTAAACTTTACCTCCAGCCCTAAACTTAATCGCAACGCTGGTCCTAAACCTGACTTTACTCCTAACCGTAATCCTTACCCTGATTCTAAACACAACTCTTATCGCAACCCTAACGAGCTATCAAATCATTGCATAAACAGTACTCGAAAACGAATCTGGGGTTAAATTTCTGACTCAATAGCTGCACAGCGTTAGTAGTGGTACTATAATAATAGTAAATCCCCTTATCCAATGATCGCTATGCGTTCAAGGCCACTGGTGTGTTGGCACTCCTGGATCGCTATTCTTAAACTTAACATTGAACATATCTAATTGATTGCAAAATTGATCACTGACTGATTTCAGTTAGAGAAGCGTTGAAAATCAACAGGCAGTACTACTGGACATCCTCGCTTCGTCCTTGTTTCGGACACTTCATCAGTACGCACTCATGACTCCAACCGCCAGGTATCAAGTCCAGAGTCTGCAGGTTACGAGACAGGCTCGTTGACCATTCAGCCATCTGGAACGGAATCCCATGGTCGACTCATGAATTCAAACTTCTGTCACTTCTCGATGTGCAGAGAAGCTGCTAGTAAATGTCACGTAGACTGCTTCAAAAATCATCAGTATCCGAAGTATTTCTGGAAAGGCCTTCATAAAAGTCAGATCCATCCACTTTATTGAAATTTGAGACGTTATACGTTGGATGGAAATGACGATCTGCAGTCACACACATTTACAATGGAACATACTATCAATCGAATCCGCCGCGTGCTTGATAATTTATCTAATGTTGAGCAAACAGAATTTGAGGATCATGTTTCCAATGTTACAGAAAGATGTGTATAAGAGTCTAAGCACGGCATATGTATCGGAGGATGATGTGCATGCCAGTGACTATTTTGGCTATGATTTTAAGCCTCCGTTTATGTATGCGGAGCAGTGTAAAACTTCTGGATTTGTAGGTCTGAGCGGTTCGCTGAATATAGCATACCTGTTAATTTGCAGTCGCTCCATAGAACCACACGATTCTGATCTCCTTCCTATATTCTCTCAGTTCTTTAGGCTTCATATGGGTACGGAATCCCAGGCAGGCGCCAGTAGATGTAGTGGCAGCGGTCTGGGACCGTAGTATGAATGTGGTATGGATGATGGCTAGTACGGGTCACATTCACTCCAGCTACCCTAACAGGGCAATCGTAAGGGCATATGGTTGTCAACCGAGATAACGTGAAGAAGCTGGGTTGTATGAATTGTGGATTGGAGGTGAGCCTTGTCTCCATGAGGCATATTAGGATGTCTCCCTAGTGCATGAGTTGTTTGAGGATGTTTGTATTTCATAACCAACTGAAAGTGCCAAGGGTGTGGTATGACTCGTTAAAATAAACGATCGGAGATCGGGAAGAGCACTGTGTCAGTGACTGACTCTACCTGCATAGAAAAATGCTCAACCCTCCTCTCCGCTCTAATGTCGGATCGGTATTGAGAACGACATAGGTAAACACACATAATAAGTGAAGGAAGGGACCTCTTTCAAATTTCTCCCTTTGATAGTGATTGGTGCTTCTTGTTGATGGTTGGTTATCTTCATCATCTCCATCCTCCCTATGCTCACTCGAAGTCCTGTCTTCCATGTCAGCCTCTTTTGCCAATTTGGTGGTGGTTTTTGCCTCGAAGTCTTCGAATCTATGTGACATTAGGCATAATTCGTCCTTGTAGACCAGATCTTCTAGAGTCTTCTTATCGGTCCAACTTCACAGGCTTCACACTGAATTTTCCGTTGGGGATCACTTGACGCGTGGCACTGTCACACAGTAGATGAGTGAATTTGATATGGATTTACGCAGTGCACTCAATTGTGTTAAATTAGTTTCCAAATTACTTCACGGTCGACTCTGTCTAGGAGCTTTTCAAAGTCGATGAAGTTGCAATACGGATTTACCAGCCTTTGTATACTCTTTCAGTTGATGATGCTCAGATTTGTAATATCATATACTAAAACAAATAAACTCATACTACTTAATAGTTGTAAGTAGTACAAATTTGAACACTAAAGAAACACTGACACCGCATAGGTTAAAAAATGGAGTTAACACGTATAGGGTAGTCAAAACCAACTTGTTCAATTCTCAGTAATGATTGAAGTCTGTCGATGGATAATGTACAATGTCGTCATCATGGAACTTGTAGCGTATCCTACTGACAAGAATTTCTAAGCAGTTTATTATTGTGTGTGTGATGCCTTCTGCAATAATCGTGTTCAATAACAAAGTGACAGATAAAGTTACAGGTTGGACCACGGATTGATATCAGTTAGAGAACCATTGAAAACCAGCACTGCAGTACTGGACAGCTGTTTCATCAGTCCAGTTTGGGAATCATCGCCAGTATGCACCCACCACAGGAGGTTCTAACCCAGGACCTTCCGGTTACAAGGCAAGCTGGCTCGTATACCGTTCAGCCACTGGAACCCGATTCATTGGCCAGCCAAGGAATTCTAACTTCTACCAATTCGTGATTTAGCGCGACAACCAGCCAATGTCATCAGTGGGAACTCTATCCTCACACTTGACTGGATGGATGTCACTGGTCACGACTTCTCACTAGAACTCCAGGAAACTCTGCCCTGTAGCAAGTCACCAGAGAGCATCAGATTAATTTTCAGGAGTTTGGTTTGTAAGCTTAAATGTTAACTTCTCCATATATGCACGAATGTATAGCCTAGTCGACGACTTCGTCGGTAAGAAAATTTTCTTCGCTGAAACAGTCGTTTATTATTATTTTTTAAAAATAATTTTTCCTATGATCTATCTACTGTGTCTACTCTGTTTTATTTCATATTCTTTGCGAAAAAACAAAACAATATTTAGATTCCGTTTCAAATTCAGTATGGGATATTCTGCCTACCAGTGTCCTACTCTCTGTATCCGATATAAACACCTTGGATAAGTGTTCATTTTGTATTGAAAAGTATTCAATCGGTGATGAAATTATTTGGTTACCTTGCTTTCATGCATTTCACTATTATTGTTTTTTAGATTGGATTTTAGAGGTAATTAACTATTTTATTCAATTTATTATTACTACTATTATTGTTATTATTATCATTGCTTGTACTAGTACTGTAACAACTGAAGACAAGGGCCAGGCAACAGATCGTTTATTAAGGAAATCAACAGATATTTATAGATTTTTATGTACATTATTATAGGTTATTGTTAGCAGACAAACACAGTCTTCTGATTGGTTGTTTCTCACTGAAAGTTAATCTTTCATCTCTTTGTGTGGCTGTTTCTTGAACGTCAGATCATCTATCTGCTAATTGTATCCGCCTACGCAAAGTCACTTTGATTTGGTACACACTGCAGAGGCCAAAACGTCTCATCGGAACTCCAGGAAATCCAAGCTATAACCATTTATCAGTTGAAGACTGTGTTTCATGACAGGAAGACACATATTATGATACACAGTCTCTGTGACATGTTAAGCAAACATTCAAACCTAAACTAGATTCAATGGATTTTTGTTGGTACATGCTAAGCAATTAAAACCTAGTTTTTATATTATATTCCCTTGGGTTCCGAGTAGAACATATCCATTTTGTCCTATTCTCCTCAGTCTTCTTCTGCTGATCGCATGACAGCTTATAAGCTTTCAACTCCTGCTCCCCACACGAAATCCTACATTTCATCCCCTGACCCACACCCACTTGGGTTCCTTCCAATCGAGCGATGGTCTGGAGGGCGATATCACCCAACAGTTTCCTCAGCTTGTGTCCTCCGATCCATCTACACTTTCTTCACCATATCTGTTGACCAACAGGTTCTCTACTGGTTCGTACCAACAGTTTCTTGTTACTAATAGCTTCTGGGTGGCCATTTGATCTTCAGTATGGAGCCAGTGAAGGCACTTATTGATAAAAGTCTGCAGCAGGCTGCTGGAAATGTTTGTTTTTTCAACGCTCAGTGCAAGTTTCTGACCCATATAAGAAGAACTTACTGACTTAACATTCGTGTTGAAAATCCTAAACAAATTTGTTGTGTATGCTGATTTCAGCAGATTTCAACACGAATTTCAGAATGATGGAGATGTGCCTTGCCTTTCCGATTGCAGCTTTGACATCTTCATCCATGTTGTCACCCGTAGTTGAAAATATGTTGTCTGTATATGTTAAGGAAGTGACCTCTTTCAAATTTCTCCTGTTGATAGTGACTGGTGGTTGTTGTTGTTGCTGGTTGGTTGGTTGGTTATCTTCATCACTTCTGTCTTGTCTTTATGTTCACTTGGAGACCTGTCTTTGCTGCTGGCCTGTTTTGATAACTTGTTGGTTTTTGCCTGTAAGTTTTCGAGTTTATGTGGTACTCGTCATAAATCTTCCTCAAAGTCAAGATCTTATAAAGTCTTATCTTTGGTTGAACGTACCTCTGTTTTCCAGCTCCCCACGGCTGGTCTACCGCTTAATCTAGTTCCACCACAAATAGGCATATCATCGGTGATAGTATGCAGGCTTGTCTTACTCTCAACTGCATCTTAACTTCAAAGACTCCGCTGAGTTTTCTCTTGTGAATCACTTGACATATAGCATCATTACATAGCTTCGTTGTTTTGAAGTAGTTTCCAAATTATTTCGCGGTCAACGCTGTCAAAGGCCTTTTCAATGTCGATGGCATTGAGGTAGAGATTTGACCGGCATTCTATGCTCTCTTCGACTATGATTCGTAGCGTTGCCACTTGATCAGAACATGATTTTCTTCTCCTGAATTCAGATTGTTCCGGTGGGCGGAGTTCTGTATGCAGTGCATCATTTAGTCTCTTCAGGATGGCTATGGGAAATAAGTATATAATTAGTCACAATCTCTAGTTAAATTCACGCTTCCCCATGAAGCAAAAAATCCTTGCCCATTCACTCAGTCTTATGTTTCCACTCAGAGTTGGAATAATAGGCAGGTAATCAATCAGTCATATATTGGTGTTGCGTGTAGAAGAATTAACTATGTAACTGCAGAGTTTTCAATTGTTGTATCAGTACATAGCCAAAGTATGTACACCTTATCTTCAACGCACCATTTGCATAGATCCTCGTGTTGTGCTACTTCTCGCCTTCCTTAATATTGTGTTTCTTTGTCCCTCTGTTTCCATATCTCCCATGTATCCCGCAACTCTGTACCATATGCTTTCTCTGACATCAAATCTATCCCCCTGCTACTTAATGTTTTTATTCTGATGAACGTCTCTTTATATTATATACTACTGATAAATCTTTTCAGTAGCACACACTGAAACAGTAATAACGAATCCACAAGTCCAGTATCCTCCCTTTACAGTTTTTACTTGACAATTTTTATTTCGTCACGAATCCTTTAACATTTCACAACCAGTCAACAGATTTTAGAATTTACATAATTCAACCTGATGTCTAAACGGACAACAAGTTTAACCTCGTCACCTGAAGTTTATTGTTCTCATATCTTCTGGAGTCATGGGTGCAAACTAGTCAGGTGTTTCGTCTAAACTTAGTACTCTTCAACACTAGGGAGCTGACGCGGAACCTTCATGTTACAAAGCTAGCCCATTGATCAAGCAGACATTGAGAAGAAATCCAGTCGCCGGCCCTTGAATTCTTTTCTTTTATTCCTTTACGTTCCTGGTGGAACATAGGGCGACTTCAAGCTAGAGCTTTGAAGTTTCGGTAGCAGTGGTATCTGTTCTTATAGTGTGGGGTTGCTAGCCTCATGACCAACTTTCCCTCTTTACCTGTCTTATTAATTACTTAACGAAGTAAAGGAGTGAGTCGGTGGCCGGGGATCGAACCCCGAACCATCTGTGTGGGTGGCGAGCATTCTATGGTTGTGCCACCGAAACACACTCGTGAATTCTAACTCCTGCCAATTTGCGATATGTGTAGCGAGAACTGCGTCAACCAATGCCATCGGTGAGTGTTACTGATCCTCATCCAGACGAACTAGGATGAAATAGCTTTCCAGTACTCCCTACCGGTTTTCAATGATTCACTGATCGATATCAGCAGTTCATGATCTAACTTGACATATATATGATCCGTGTTAAAGATAAATTTTTGTGAGATTGACAATAAAATCTATAAAGGTTTATTTTTATTGTTTTTTACTAATTCATCAATCAATAAATATATAGTGTGACGAATGTCCTGTATGTCGATGGCCAATGCTCACTTTCGAATGATGATCTAACACAGCGTGATCGCTGAAATGGGTTGCGGGGAGGGTGGGGCCAGTGAAAGAACGCAGAAAGGCATCTATCTCTTTAATGACTTTCAAAGATCAAATGTATTTGCATTAACATTCTGTTCACTCTCTCTCTCTCGCTATCTCTTGTCTTTCAATTGGTCTACTGAACAGCTATGCACCTCATTTTTTCTCCCATATAAGTGTAAATATCTCTCGATTTTTTTTGTTAAAAAAATATTGATTTTGATTATGACAATGAAGAAAATTTTGATCTACGCTTTTATTGATTTTTTATTCTGTTCCATCACTGTTCTCACAAGAAATCTTTGCTACGCTTTTTATTCATGGAAAATTCCCATTTAGACATCTAGGGAAATCAAAACAAGAGACTGTTTTCAGAGAAATATTTGTGATTATGATCATAGTTAAATGTCAAGTGGCAAAACAATTAATGTCATATATAGAATAATTCATAAGATGTATAGAGATTGGAAGAGGTGTGAAATTATAGGATTAGTAGACAAATCGCATAGAATGTGAAAACGTTAGGTAAAATTTTGTGAAGTTTGATAACATAGATAGAATTTAATGTTACAAAGCAAAACTGATTTAGAATGACCAATGGGAGGAGTAAAATAATACCGGAGGCAGTTCAAAGTAAGAATAGAAATAGTAACAATTGATGTGATAGGTGCGTCGGTGGCACAGCGGTTAGGACACCCGCCGACCATGCATATGGTCCGGGGTTCGACCCAAGGCCGACGCACTCCTTTACCTCGCTAAGCCAGAAATAATGCTGGTGAAAAGGGAGGGTTGGGCATGAGGCTAGCAACCCCATCCTGTAAAATAAACACTGCTACAGAAACTTCAAGCCACTAGCTTGAAGCCCTATGTTCCACTGGGGAACGCGAAGGAAAAAAATACAAATTGAATAGACAAAATGAAAAAATTGGTAGAGACAAAATATGATTAGGGATTACGATATATTTAAGCATGGAGGAATTAAGACCATGAAAGTTGGAGGGGTTGAATGAACTTTTTCTGTATACAGAGATTTGGCTTTTCTATTTCCATGGCCAAAGATGGCTTCAGTAATACAGATGAGGCGGATACGTAGTGATTTGGCCAAATAACTTTTCGTCTTGTAGATGACTGTGAAAGCGGAGACTGTAGAGGTAGTGTGACCAGTATCGACCAGATGTTCAGTAATCGCGTTTCTGAATGCTCCACTTCCACGTCTTTGTAACCATGTAGAATAGTGTTCTTGCACTGTCTTGGACAAAACTCGAGTCGAACGACCGACATCCCTAGCTCGACACGAGCAGGTGAATTGATAAACACACATAGAGATGGTCACTTGTGGGATCTTGTCCTTCAGTTTATTGAACAGTAATGGTCGACTAGAAAACGCTGTTCTCAACTATGCTGCAGCAAAGTTCTTTTTCAAAGACTCCGAGATCCTTGTTTTAAGGATGTCGGCAGCTGAGTCATCTTTGAATTCCAAGCTCATGTATAACATTTTCTTGGATACGGATGTTAAGTCAAATTTCAAAGATTTTGACTGTATGTTAATGTTTATAAAACATGGCGGAATTCCATTTCCCCCCTAGGATTTCTCTTCCTCCACAGCAACAGGACTACATATGCGCCAAATCTCACTGACCAGTGATCAGATCAAGTTTCGTTTTCGATCAATGGACACCCAGCTGTAAAACATTATCTGTTTTGCCACTTGACATTTAACTATGGTTATAATCACACATATTTAATTCTATTTCATACTACTATTATTATTGTTATTATTTTATGTATTCACACCTTTGTTTGAATATCCTCACGGGATACAATTGTACAGCTCGATAATAAATTCCTTGGAAAGAGTCTCTTGTAGTGCTTGCCTTGTAACCGGAAAGCTCCTGGGTTAGAACTCTGCTAGTGTGTGCGTACTGACGAAGAGTCTCAAACTAGGACGAAACAGCTGTCTACAACTCCCTGCTGGTTGATGCGACGAACTTGTCTCTCCACCTAACTATATTACTGTATGTACATTCGCCTCATTCCAGTATATTGTGTGATTACGTACAAGTGAATATATTGCACAAGGGCTGAACTTTTCCAAGATAACTTAAGTTACCAGAATCAGTCATTCTACCTGTGGCTAAATTCCTATGTTCCGATAATCTAAATGACCGCCATCTACTACTTCGACCTATGTTGACTTCGTGCAATAAATGTGCTAAAGGGATTTTGTCTGACTTGGAGCATCCCACTTTACCCTCAGCTTTCACCTTGCATCTCCTCAGGTAGAACAAGAAGTAACTTCAGAAAACTGTATGCTCGCACGTCTAAGTATAAAAATTCTATGATACCATACTTGGAACGTATTTTATGTGTGATGAAAATAGTGTCAGGCAACAATTAACTAACCTTTTTTCATCTAGTAAATAAACAATTTCCTCCATCCATCCATCCTTATATACCTTCAAGTTTTACTTTTATTATTTCTATTATATTTATGGTCCTGTTGCTTCTTTGTTTTACTTTCATAATTTCAAACACCAACTTATCTCTATGACTGCTGTAATCTTTGTTTTTCCCCTCACCATATCATGTGAAGAGAACATTATATTCAATATTTTAAAACATGCTAGGATTTCTATACCGAATCGACAATGCTGTGTGAGACAAGCCCATGGCAATTTTCACTTGTATTATTATTATTACCTTAGCTGTTATCATTATTAATATTTCCATCTTAAATACTGCATGTTTTTGACATTACCCCTATTGTAAATGTGGAAAATTTTCTGTGTGATTAATTTTATTTATAATTTGAGGAAATTAGATGCAATATTGTGATTAATGCTGAAAATTCCATTCTGTATCACAAGTACTGTTTTTGGAATAAAGTAAATCATTATTATTATTATGTTTGTGACCTGACAGTCATAACAAGATTTTTTTCCTAATGAGATCTGTTGGGTTATCAGACCTACCTACCCTTATTTTTCTCACTGGTCCTAATACATTTCTATATAGGAATTGATTCACTGGAAATGTTCTTCTAACATGTGTTTGTTTTCATTATTTAAATAAATCTTCAGACTTAACGACTGGCCAGCCAACTGGTATTAAATACTGAGCGAAGATGATATGTGTTGAAGCTAGTCTGAAGTCATTTGGAACATTGAAGTATAGCTACAGCTAGAATGACTGATCCTAATAAGGTGAATAGTCTAGAGAACAATTGGTCGCTACCATGTATTCATTTGCTTGAAATCATACAGTAGTAGTATTGGGGTGAGAGCTGTCTGCTACCTAAAATTGTAGACAACAATTTACGTCAATGTTTACTTCCCGAATCGGGGTCATCTGAAAAAAACAATAACAAAGCTTAACCTTGAGGAACTCACCAACCAATCACAGCAGACTTAACGTGGGCGGATACGATTCGCAGATATATGGCCTAACTATCTAAGAAACGGCCACAAAGAGATGACAGAATAACCTTCAGCGAGAAAACAACCAATCAGAAGACGTTGCTTCTCTGCTAACAATAACGAATAATAATGTACATAAAAATCTTTAAATATCTGATGATTTTCTCAATAAACGAACTTTTGCTTGGTCCCTGTCTTCTGTCGTTACAGTATAATAAAGAGTGAGACTGTTATTTATTGTTATTTTTATCTTTGGCGCCAAATGGAACACAGGGCTTTGGCAGCAAATCTCCATTTTCTCCTAATCTCTGCAGTTCCCTTTAACCGGCCACACAATTGCCCATAATCTCTCATCTCTTCCTCAATCCCACCTTCGGCCCAACGCCCAACTTGTCACTTCCCATTCGGACTCCAATCGAGCGATGGCCTGGTGCGCGACGTTGTTCAACGACTTCATCAGTGGATGGAGGAACTAATCATGAGCACCCAACACAGGAGGTTCAAACCCAGTACCTTCTGGTTACAAAGCTAGCGAGCTCTTAGACCATTCAGCCACTGGGACCCGCCTATCCAATGGGCAGCCCGTGAATTCCAACTTCTGCCAGTTGACAACATAGCACGACCATTTCGCAATGTCTCCTTCGATGAGTTACTGCCTCATCTTAAACCTGCTGTACCCTACTGGTCACGGCTTCCCACTACAACCCCAAGTTAACTGCCTGAATAGGGCCATTCGCTAGTGAGCATCAGATAAATTTTCAAGTATTGGTTTTGTAGGGATTTTGTTTGACTGAATGGGTGTCTGCTGATGAAGAGTCCCAAATTAGGATGAAACAGCTGTCCAGTACTCCCAGGTTTCCCAGTGGTTCTCTAACTGATATCAGCTCATGACGAATTCCTCCATCCAATCAAACAAAATCCTTAGAAAAGCAAACATGAATTCACCATGTTTGCTGCTGCCAACTTCGATAACTCTCTATCTGTTATTACTGGGGACTCGTCAGATTGCTCCTTCCTTGAAGCACTTGGTCACTCTAACATTGTCAAATTTCCCACTCGCCTAGACAAAACACTTGATTTAGTTTTTACAAATGACGAAGGAATATATGAAGCACGTAAACGTGCACCGATCCTCAACTCTGATCACTCTATTGTTCGTGTTCTACCAAAAATATACAGCAAAACACATATTAAAATCTTCTCGCATCTGTCTATGAAAGCACAACAAAGATGCTACTCATCCGACAAATTACTCAATCTAAGGTGCATGTTACAAAATACTAACTGGGATTTATTCCATGAAAGTTCATTAGATGACACAATTATCAAAATAACGGATTATCTTAAGTTCTGCCTTGATATGTGCTGTCCCAAACAAACACTATTCAAACGCCTCGACCGCTTCTCATCTCCTTATCTCAAACAACTTCGCAGGCAAAAAGAAACATTATACAAATCCAAAAACGAGTTAGGACACAAAAAGATTAATGCTCAGATCAAATCTGAAATCAAAAACCTTAACGCTATCTATAATGATACGCTTTTACCATGCAAATCTCCTATCAGCATGTGGAAACTTTTTAATGAAATTACTGGCAATAGTAAGCGTTGTAATGCTTTTCCCTCTTATGATGTTAATGCTCTTAATCAGTCTTTTATAGGCTGTACTTCTACTTTAACTACTTCTAATGTTACCTATCACGTAGCTGAAAACTTTCATGACTTTAATACTCTCGATGTTCTAAAATGTCTTAAAACGCTCAAGCCCTCACGTAGCCT